ACTTTCGGACAACTTTGAGAAACGAACCATTCTTGCAGCTTTTCCATTCTCTATATGTATATCCTTTAACTGTGAGCTTGAGTTGGAAAAGGAATCTATTCGTAAGAGTTGAGCTAAGAAAGAATGATGCAGATGTTCGTAGACGAGCTAAAATTGTTGAGTGATACTTTGCACTATGATTTTTAAACTCGTCTTATTGTTCTTTCTGTGCTACTGATATGACTAGGCAATGTATCCAAGGGAACCTGGTTTATCCCTTCAGAAGTGGGCTCACACGCAAGTTGCTGTTGGTGTGGCCTGCTACCATGATGAAATTAAAGCTTCTCTCCCTACTGTTTGGACACCATTGCATCACCTTCTATTCACTTTCTTCCATGTTGATCTTCAAATGAAACTAGAAGCTCCAAAACCAGTGGGCTCAATGAGATCCTTTTTTCTTTTCCTTCCATTTGAAATAATACAAAATCATCTGACCCTTGTCTTACTGGTTGTATACTCTTTGGTTACTGGTTTGGCCTGTTTCGCACTCCTCTCATTCTATCTTTTATTGCAATCCTAGGTAGCTCTGTTCTTTTACTTGGCAGGTAGTAATTGGATATGCAGCACTTTCATTATCCACCCATGCACAGTAGGCAACTGCCCTTATGTTTGTCATCTTTTGTTTTGTTTCTTTCCTTGATGATTTATTAGCTTACATTATTTGTTCTGCTACTGGAGTGATTGGTATGGTAGTTCATGGTATTGGAAACAAACAGGGGGCAGAAATATAATCACCTATTCGGTATTCTAGTGGTTTGTTAAGTTAATGTTATAATTTCAATTGTCAGGTCACTTTCCTGGTTTATGTTGTGGGTACTTGGATGATATCAATGTGAGTCTTCATTCACCTTACAGTGAAATGCTACCTAATTTATTTGGATAAGTTTGATAAAATCTTATTAAAAACAACAGAGGTGGTATTTAACATCAAGAACTCTCATTACCTAAGCTTAGTGTATGAAGTTATTGAATCATAAAAATCATATGTGATTGTTTATAGTTTATACCTCAAGAAATTTAATATTTTGGTACAGGTCACACTTGAGTAGGGTATAGAGAAGGGTTGAATTGGGAACAATTTTATTTATCCTTTAGCCATTTTTTCTAAAGCAGTTGCAATTAAGATTTGGTAATGAGACTAATAATTATCTGTACCAGATAATGGCTTTGGCTTTTATTCCCCATCCCCTGAAATTTAATAAAATAAAAATAAAATACCAGCAGCTTTTTGTCATAAAGAAACTGAGAAACAATCTGTACCAGATATTATAGCATTTTTCTAGTCTTTATTAGGTCCTAGCCTTCTTTGATGCCAACTAAATGCCATAACAGTATATTTTCTAGTAATTTAGACATGACTTTTTCTCATGCTTTTGTTATCTGCATCAT